CTTTTAATAAATAATATTACTTTTAATATCATCTTTAATATCTTTGGGAACTTTAAAATAAATTTACAATCAACAACGGTATTTTCTTAATCTTCATTTTAAATTATAAAATCGTTGTTAAAAATTATAAATGACAAGCAATATGTAAAAGAGTGTAACGTCGTCCCATCATTGTTTCTGGACTATTATAAAGGAAGTTCCATCTTTTTGAAGGGCAATAAAGAAGTTTATGATTCAAAAATTTTATATAACCAAGTGAGTTGCTCTAATACTTCAACCATTAAAGATCACTGCAAATATAATGAGGTGTTTATTTTATCTAGCCTCGTTATATGAGGATGCAATTTTAGTTAAGTTTTCATTTGCTCTTGGTAAATTCTTTTCAAAATGTCTGTGGTAATGTATTATAATAATTGTTCGGAAAAATAAAATTTAAGGAAAAGTTATTGCTATTGTTTCTTTCCGGTTTTCTGATTATGTAATTAAATTATACAAAAAAGTTTTTTTTCCCATTGCAACGAAAGCTATTTTGGTACAAAAGTATACTGTTTTATATTTTAAAAGTATGAGAGATATTTTGACATGCATCAGCAAGTATAAATTTTTACTTAGATTTACATACCTAATATCTCCTTAAATTCAGAACATCAAACTTTTATGCGAATTATAGCAGAAATAATACTCATCTTTCTTTTTTTAATCACTTAAATAAAATGCTTTCAAAAAAGAACTAATATATTGAAGATTTTGTTCTAAGCACATGCAGCATCTAAAACGTATATGAAAAAAGTGCGGCGATACGTGTAACAATTTAAACTAAGTCTAAAAATCAGCATTATAATTGGAGGTTTAGGCTTAAAATTAAGTCTCATACTTTTTCATCAGCCTTATTTAGAATCGCATATGGCGAAATTCAAATAGAGCAGATGTGAAGTAATTTTTGGACATGAGGTTTTTATAAATATATCTAAATATATATATAAAACTTGTATTAATATATCCTCTAGAAAAAAACTTCTAGACAACTGGAAAAAGCTGTGGATCAACTCCTCAAGGAGATAAGTCATCTGTAACACAGAGTACTACAAGGATTGACCATCTTGTCTCCGTATTAGGTGGGAGGGGGTTGTCAAATCAAAAAGCTATCCTTCAAAGAATAATAGTCTTACTAGCCACCACGCCTATGGGAGTCCACACCCCAGACAACGGACTTTTAAATTCGAACTCTGTCTTCATATCATCCAATGCTGAATCGCTTCACTGGTTTATCACTCGCGGTTGCACAAAGATAACGAATGATGAGGCAGCTAATTTGAAAAGCCTGTCATCCGCCCATCGCGCTACCTACTCGGGTGGCTTACACTATCACCCTCCAGTATTAACGGCCTTCAGTATTAACGGCAGTTGCTTGTTATACTATCAGAGAATTACGGTGAACAGTTATGTCCGACTTAGCCGGGTGGCAAAGTGAATGAAAAATGTAGCTCTCGTATTCCGACTGTATGTATATATATGTTTTCCAAATATAGTGTTACATTTTCATTTAACATGACTATCCTCACTTTTGTAAATTCAGCTGTAGTGTTAGAATTCCTGCTAAAACATTTAAGCCGGTGGTTGGTGAAGTTCTAGATCCTCGGCAAATATTCCGCAGAAATGGCCTCGGTGCAGAACTAAGAGCCAGTTCCATCGGTTTTCTTAAATCGCGCCTCACTGGAGGCACCATTAAGAGCCATATTCTCAGCAGCGATGTTCTACATGGCTTGAATGTCCGCGAGGAGACACCCCAGCTAGGAGTTGCAATTGTTCGCATAATATTCGAAAGCTACTTAAGTTTTCCTTCAACGTTTCATATGAGAAAGCCAGGAGAACGTATTATCGAGAGCCACATCTAATAGTGAAACTATCCGACAAATTGAATATTTTCTCCATACGCGGAGTATGCTTATGCCTTTTACCTGAGCCATTTACCTAACAAATATTCCTCTAATGTTAAGAAATTGTGCATTTATGCTCAATGTCCGAGCTCGTAATCTTACCTGATGCGTTCTAGCCATTCCTTTCGTAGCTACTTCGAATGTGTCCTTTAAAATCGAGCTGTTGTCAGCATAACAATGGTTTCTGTATTTTCATCATTGTCAATTATGCAGAATACAGTGTCTTCCACTAGGTTGCACAGAAGAGGACATAGGCAGATGTGAACTCAGGCACCCAAGCGGGAAGCCTCTCGAAACATTTTATTCGTGAACTCCCCCGTCTGTTGTGGCTTGTCGTTCAGTTAAATAACTTTAAATAAAGTCAAATATAATCTTTGGGCAGTAGATCTCTTGTCAGCGGTATAAAATATCAGGGCACTACAGCGAAACGAAGGAGCCTTATATATCAATGATGATAATCAGAGAATGCACTTTATTCCTCTTGTGTTTAGTATTACTCACTGAAGGAAATTTATTGCATGATCAACTGATTTTCCTGCTACCAACCCATGCTGCGTATCGCTTAAGATACTTTTGTGAATATAAAACTTTAGTTTTTGCTGTAAAATCCGTTCTAGGGTTTTCTCCATGGATAGGAGAAGGTAAGTTGACTTATATGAGAACGTCTCGTTCGGATCTTTATTACAATTTTAAAAGAAGGCGACTTCTACTGTTTCAGTACCTTTCGGAAAGTTGTTAGTCCCAGACGGCCCAGGGGCTTTATTCGAATTTCGCCTTCTAATTAATTATTGTTTGTAAGCTCCTTGTTCTTTGGAGTAGGCTTTGTGTTTGTGACACTCGTTGTAGAGTAATGTTTGATGCTCGTGAGAACTTTCTTTTAAGCAGTGCTGTCTATACGAGAGTCATCGTGCCGGAAAATAATATGTAAGATGTGATTCAGTATTTTCAAGCCATTGTTGCCAACCTGGGAGACTGAAGCAGTTAGACTAGATGGCCTGACGATCTTGACAGTATAGATCTTTATGCAATCTTGAAGTACGCGCCATGTTTTTATGTTGCGTGCATAGCAGTTTCGCCAGCTCGCAATTTAGCTTTAGTTATGTTATGCTTATAGGCAGCGCGATATATATCTTAAATATCATTGTTAGAGTCTCAATTTCGTTGGGGTTATGAATTCTCCCACAAATTTTTAATCTGTTCTGAATGAGGGATATTCCTTTAGATTCTGTGTAGTTGCAAAACGAGGTCAGACACATTCTGAGATGGCTAGAACTGAATGTTGACCATGTCCCAAACACGTTCAATGCAAAAACGTCAGGAACACCCCCAAACGTGTTCAATAGATGAATGTCAGTAGCAAAGTGTGCTGCAAGCGGACATTCATTAATATGTTAAAAATATGCTCGGTAAGTATACTAAGTTGAGCTTGGGAACAACAAGCCGCAGAATGTCATCGACGTAATATTGGCTGCTTAGGGATATTGTTGCTTCGGCTCGGGTTCTTTATTTATACGGGAAAACTAAATGTGACCGGGTATCATACATTTCGTTCCGCATGCTAACGTCAGGCATGAAATATGAAATTTCATAACTTCCCACAGTGAATAATATTGGCCTGCCCGTCTTCCACACATAGATGCGGAGTCCGAATCCAAAATTTGAAATTATTGCTGAAACGATACCATTTCAGTTCACTCCATTCAGAAAAATACGGACGGAATATTACACCAAACGTTGTTGATGATGAGCCGTCGTTAATAATAGACGTCACAAGGAGCGTCTGCAATGCAGTCCATTCTTCGCTGTCGTTATCCGATAGTTTTATGGGATAGCAAAAAGATAGTTCTTGACCTGTGTGTAGGTTCCGTTGAAAGTATAACGATGTGCATGGATTTCCGGTCCGTTCTCCTCGTCCTTCCGATAGTTCTGGACCTGTGGGTAGGTTGTGTTGAAAGATGGAAAGCATAACGATGTGCATGGATTTCCGGTCCGTACGTCTAATATTCATCCTCGTCCTGCCGTTCTCCTTCGCCCTCTGACAGACGGCATGTTCAAACCACTACTGACAACGCTAATGGGGGTCATCATACCTAGCAACGTGCGATGCTATTAAAAAACGTTTTCGACAAACAGTGGTTTTCAGCTCTATTTTAGCCAATGAGGCTTCTGGCCGAAACTGTTCCACTCGAAAATATGTTGCGGGTGCTCACCCGGCATATGTTACAATGTTATTGTAACCTTACTTCCCAGAAGGCAATGATGCGTCTTGTCTTCAACTCGCTCACTTGCTTACCACCTCGCCGGTTGGGTATCCGATGCATTCTTCTCGTGTGAGCTAGACCTTCTCCTCCTGTCATCTTTTGTGTTTGGTTGCGCAGTACATGCACTTTATGTATTCAGCGGCTGTGCGTGTTTAATGTCGTGGGTAGCTTAGTTTGACAAATTTTGTAAGTCATGTGTTGTTACGTTCCATTACATTTTCTCTATGAGTGCGTATTTTTGCTGCAAAGTTGTTTCAAATGTATGCTTATGAAAAATATTTAATTTAATTAATCTGCATCTTAGACATTTGGGTGGATATAGCCATTATCAGTGCGTAAGGTACTCAAATTAAAGAAGTAATAAAATAAGTATGAAAACAACAAAGTTTAATGAAATTACCTTTTAGTTAACAGTTTTGGATGTTGATTTTGTAAATCTAAAAATTTGATGCATTATTGAATTTTACAATGAAAAGCAGATAAAGTCTTCCATTTCTTCGAATTCGACGTATAGTGTAAAAACAACATTTTCAACAAAAGAACAAAATTCTCCAGTGTCCACCATTAAAACTTGAATCATCCACTAGTGAGTGGTAAGAACCTGGCTGATGACCAATGCAGTGCGAGTATCTTTTATTGCAGTCTTGAATCTCTGTTTAAGACTCTTGCTAAGTTCATCTTCGATCCTTTGAAATGCAAATTCAATAATAGCAAGCCTCTCAGATGCTCTAAAATTTTAAAAGGTACTAATATCAAAAAAGAATTTTTGTTTGTAACTGATAATTTTCTGTTTCTCTTCCAGCTGATTCTATTTCGAAAAGTTTAAATAAAGCTGTGAATCCTTGTGTTGATTTCTATCAGTTCACCTGTGGTGGTTGGATAAAGAAAAACGATGTTTCTCCCGCAGTACCTTACGTTTCTGCCTTTTCTAAAGTTCAAGATCATCTCAACTTGGAACTCAAACGTAATGAAGCGTATTTAAAGTTTCTATTATTAATCTCAATTCAGATTTAATGAATAATGTTGAACTAACCACGGTTCTCTATAACATAACACTTTACGTTCTCTTCAAAAATCACGAATTTTTCCACTTATCTCAGGCTGAATATTTCAGATAACCAATTAAAAACAAGTACGTTATTTTAATAAACATGTATGTATTTTTTGAGTTACATTTGAGCTTATGAATTATATCAATTATATAGAAAGATTATATCTTTATGTCTCGCTTGTAAAACGTATAGCGACATACATTGTCCCCCTAAAACAACGAAATAATATTTCTAAAGCTTAAACAAACTGAGATTGAACTGATTATGAGCGTTTTTCATGCATGTTTGAACTTGTCCAACAATTCTCAACAAGCCACAGGATTTTGTGCCATTTAACTGACTATCGATCTCCGTTTAATGCATTAATGTTTCCCCTCATGTGCTCCAAAGAATTTTATCTCAACATTCTACAGCATCTTGAAATGAAACCATACCATTTTAAAACAATGACCGCTTGTTAGCGATGAAGATGTTTTTCAGTGCATTGATCGCAGTTTCCTTTTTCATTGATTTGACATTTTGATTCGGTATCACACTGAAAAACTCATGTTTTGATATCTTTTTACAAAAATTTTGAAAACGGTTCGGTTCACCTCAAGTTGCTATTTGGAAGTCGGCACAAAGTTCCTTGTTGCACGTGAGTGGAAATACTGACTGACAATCGATTAAACGCCAGAGAAGTTATCGTTTGCCGTATATGATTGGATAAGTTTTATTTAAAAAACAAAAACACAATTATGTAACAGACAATCATGTCATTACTGTAACTTTTAGCCTATTACCATTCCTCTGGGCCCTAATCTGTAAGGCAATGCTTGGGTAATAACATAAGCAATGCTTGGGTAATACCCTAATTCAGTACCGTACTGAAAGGCAATGCTTGGATAACAGCTGTGAAATACCTCAACAGCTATTACACAGTAACAGTGAACACCTTAATTTTATTTCCAATAAATGCCTTCAGTGGAAATACAACAAGATTTGCTCTAAAGTGATGTCACTGACGTCTGAGTTTCTCGTACTTCCATAAGTCAGGTGACGTCAGCTAACTCGATCGTTTAAAGGAGCGTAACCTTGTTTGTCTATGACATGCTCAATCTCTTGTTTTAACCCTCAGAGCCGCGCATCTTTTCTTTTCCCTCACGGATCTTATATTTAAATAATATTTATTTGGTATATTTTTATATTCATTTATTTTACCTGTTTGTTTCCATAACGTTTCCTTCATTAGAATAATGTTTAGATCCATAAAAGAAAACGAACTATTTTACAAAGTATGTTGAGAAACTAACCGAACTAAGCAGCAACAGAAAATTTGATAGCAGGATAAAAACGGTTGTGCAGTTAGAGAGAAGTAAATATTGCTCGCATTACTTCGGCATAGCTTAACACTTTAAGATATTTAAGGAAATCAGACACATCTTTCAAAGGTGTATAAGAGCGACCATATATCTTCAAAAGGAAATGTCAAAATGTAAGTTCAAAAATAAACTACATAATGAAGAAATAATATGGAACATTTAAGTATGGTTTTTATTACTTTAACACTGATTTTAAGTAATGGTTTAGAACTAATATGAAATATTATTTCGGAATATGTGAATTTAGGTTAAAATTGTGGAGCTAAATTTGATAAATTATTTTTCTTGGCAATATTTTTAAATAAATTTTTATATATTACATGGAAATATTTCTTAATAATGTAAATGTTTACGATCTTCGTAAAGATCGTAAAATGACAAATGACTGACATTTGGCCGATTAAAAGTATTATAAAGAAATGTATATAAATGCAATTTGAAATTAATATCTTTGTTTTTAATTCCAGGCATTTTAAAAATACTGACGTATGCATCCCCACCTGATTATATCGCCAAATTAAAACGACTGTTTTTCTGGTGCATGAATACTGGTAAGTTTCATATCATATTATCCATTCATTCGATAGCCTCATTAATATATTATCAGTCTGTGATGTCTGGTGATAGCGAAAATATCAAGTAAAATTATTGTTACTGTGAAAGACCGGAATTTGGAGAATGTCGACATTCACCATGCACTAATGGTGAATGTTGAATACGTCGGAGATTTGCATTTTGTTCTCCGTATTTCAAGCGCCATAAAACTTCAAAAGTGACGTAACGTTTTCGCCTGTCTTGCTGAGAGGAGTAACCGATCCCTGCTGAGAAAAGTTGTTCGTAACGCTATAGAGGCGTTTTCACTGCGTGAGATGTAGCTTTTGATTCTAACGGGAGAAGGACTACTCGATATTACTTGACTTCTTAATAATGACAGCAGTCATGCTTGGATATGTTAAGCATTTAGTTTTAAATTTAGTCGATAAATAACTTTTTTTTTACTTTTGCTTTTATACCGTATACGTCAAAATTTGAAAAAGCTTAAGTAACAACACATGTAAATAAACCTTTGAACTTAAAAAATTCATGAGAAAAGAAAATAATTCTAAATGAGAAAAGAAAATAATTCTAAATGAGAAAAGAAAATAATTCTAAATGAGAAAAGAAAATAATACAAAAAAAAAACTTAATTATGTGATTGAAATCTTATTTATTTCAACAACATAAACTTTTATGACATTTTGAATTGCACAAGAGTCCCTTGCATTTACATCTACCCTTGCACAACTGCATTTAGTTGTGGAACACTTCCTTCTGTAGTGACTGCTTGTATAGCCTTGCCCTTCACTTCTCGAATTAGCTGCAGCTGCTTATCGCATCTATGGAAAGCAACTTTTCTTTAAAAATTACGAACTGATTACGTATATATAAAACTGCTTGAAAGTACCATTTTTATTTGCTAGTTTATAAAAGTCGCATTCTTCTATTCTAACAACTGCTAACACATTTCGGCCATCTGTACGACCACGGTCGACATCAGAGACTTGTATTCGTACGGCATCACCAATTTGAGCAGTTTTGTTTTCTAGGTTTGTAACATTTTCGTTGCTTGCAGTAGAAGATTCTCTTTCGCGGCCGATATTTTTATAGAAATTAACTCGTGTTGTTCAGTCCAGGTTTGATACGAAGACATGGTAGGTTGCAGGTCCTCCTCAATATTTTTTCTTTGGAATATGGTTTTCGGTATGGCCACTGCTCAAAAGTTCTTAAAACGTATTAACAGACAGACAGAAATAAGAAGTACAGGAGGCACCAAAACATCGCCATGGGCAAAACTGGTATCGCCCCACTGCACTAACCATCTATAGAAGTGTACTCTGACCGGGCACGCTAACACCATGCTCGGGAATTAGTTTACATTGCAGCAAGCAGCATTCATAATACACTGTTATATATTAATGGTGCATAATTTGCATTGCAGACAATATTGTCTCAGATATACTTTACACGGGTACTTTGCAGTTGGATGGATAGATACAATAATTACAATGGATAATTACAATAAGTTATTTACAGATGTATATACATATTTCTCTTGTGTTTCGGTTTGGAGCTTTGTTGGTTTTTTTTTTTTTTTTTTTTTTTTGTTACACAATTCACAGTTTATAAGTTATCATTCATAGTGCAATTCATAATACAGCATACAGTTTATGAATTCATTTCATGGTACATAGTGTTGAGTACGTAGAACTGGTGCATCTGTCACACATTGCACAGTATAAAGTTGTAGAGTTGCGCGCCTCCAACCTGCTCGCAACAAAGTGGTGACTGCTGAAACTGGATATTAGACAGAGTCTTGAGAAGGGTTTAAGTCCCTTTTTATTCAACTTTAGAAATTACAAATGCGTGCTCTTGACGCTCACAAACTACGCCGACCCGGCGGTAAAATAAAAATAAGAAACTGAAAAAAGAATAATAACGTGAACTACGAGGCTCTCTAAACGTAACTAACCTCACCGCGTTTTAAGATACCGCTGATAATTCAGCAAACTTCTGAATATTACGTTGAAAGATTAACATTTGCCTAGGCAAGCACACAAGCCGAAACGCGTGGTTCTTCAATTTCTAACTAACCACCTCCACGCTCGTGCAGCAAGAAAAGCACACTTTCGAACTCGTTTCCTTTCTATTTAACTCAGATTACTTCCGCTGACAATTTGAATCCTTTGCGCGTTCTACTAAAATTTACATACTCTGGCATTGGCAATTTCCAGGGGAAAGTAAGGCTTGAACAGGAAAGATAGTTTAAACTTAAAATAAATGTTAGTTAAAATAAATATAAACCCTACATTTGCCGCTGCCAGAATTTGGAAAACTTGGAAGCAGGTCCTAGAAACGACCTGTTGGAAAGTTTCCACAATTCTGATCTAAATTTTAAGAGCCTCGTTTACATAAAAAAAATCTGTTATCTCACAAAAGGTAGTAACAAATTTCTGTAGATACTTATTTAAATTCTCTCTTCTTACAGCAAACTTTTCCTGGACTTCAGCAATCAATCTTGTTCTTTTCCTTCCAGTATCTGGAAGGAATAAGTATCAGTATCTTTCTAAATACATTATAATTTACACTTTCTTGACACTGAATACATTTTTGTTTTTAAAACGATTTATTTTCCTTAGTTACTGCTTAATTCACATTCATTCAAGTATTCAAACATGAATTTAACTTTACCCTGGCTCTCCACCATGTGTGGTGTCAAACGGGGAATATTCGTGTTTTAGTATTGCAACACTTCCCCTAACCACAATGATTTGTTAGAATTCAACGACCAAATAGACACACCTTACTCGACATTCTACAACTCGATGAGCTACTTTAACATTCTTAAAATTCAAGTGTAGGTGGAGAACCCTACAAAACACATTCATTCTAACTTCCCCCTCATTCATCTTTAGACATGCAGGCTTTCGCTCTAAAGCATGATTTTATCTACAGTTTAATACGTAAATTTGAATTCATTGCTTTTGAGCATTTACTTTTAGCATCTAAAATTTTATGCTTCTAGACTAAATTTTACTTTTACATAACTTTCAAGCATTTACGTATATTTACAAAATTCTAATACATATGATTTTTACAATTTACCATGCAAATGAATAAGAGAAAATAAATTTTTACTTTACTCATTCTTCGCCAAGCTGGCGGCACTGAAACTAAAGTTCTTATTAATACAAGAATACGAAGTTATTTTTATCTTCGGCCAAATTTTGGCTTTAACATAACAGAATTAGTCTTTCGACCAACAGAAACTGCTTGTTCCTAGATTTTATACTTAAAGAAAATAATACTTTTGCCTTAGCTAAATAAAGTAAAACAAAACGAAATCTCAACCGAGACACATTGACTTTCGTCAAAACATAGAACTTTGTACTTTACGCATAACATTTCGGAACAAAAGAAAAAAAATTTTATAGAAGATTTTAACTTATCTTTGAGTTTTCGATGATTGGAACTCCGACATTCTTTTCTGGCAGAACTGTTCCCACGTTATAGGTTTCATGGACGTCAATCTTCTCCTTACTGACCTCCGAGTGTCGTCCACATTAGTTCTTTTGCGACCTCTGCATGCTGGCCTCTTGGCGTAGTAGTCGTCGGGTTGCTGTCTTTTTCGTTTTTAGCCTGGACGGCTGGTCTTGGCGTCCTCCGGTCTGGAGTCATTCTTGAATTTCTTCTGTTGTTGCTGTTTTTTTCGTTCCTCTGCTGTCTTTTTATTTCCGGAACGGCGGCCTTGTTTGCACCTGACTCTCTGGCCCTGGCCCTGGGAGCGTTCTCCTTGATGTATAATTTCTACTACTGCGATACGTTGTAGGTGGTGTTTTCCTCTTTACCAAGGTTTCTTTATGCGGTGGCTTTGCATTCTTGTTTTTCTTTAATGCTGGAGACTGAAAGTTTTCGTTTATTCTTTTCGGTACCGTCGCCTGGGTTGTAAAAGGGCTAGGTCTCTCTTCAGTTCTCTGCTTCTTGGGTGGTGGAACGGGTGACGTTATTTCGGGACCTTATACTTCTTTTACGCTTGAGTCCTGCAAGAAACTTTTAAGGATTTCAAAATCATTTTGATTATAGTATTTTTTAACCTGGTCGGGAATTGCTTTACAGATTTCCCCTCTCTCGTTCTTAAGGTACAATACGACTATTTTGATTTCCTGAATTACATAGGGGCCGTCAAATTTTGGAGCTAACTTTACAGTAAAATTGTCTGGGGCACTTGATAAAGAAAATTTCCGCTTCAATACTTTATCCCCAACTTTAAAATCTGCTTAACGGTGTTTTCTATCGTAATATATTTTTTGCTTATTTCTTGCCGTATCCGAGCTTTTAAGCGCCTGGTCAATAAGTTTTTGCACATTTTCTGTTTAAATTCTTGCTCTCTTTGTTGCACAAAGAATAATTTATCTAAAGGCGTAATTAACTTTCGGCCTAAAAATAATTCTGCTGGGGTTTTTCCCGTAGTATCGTGATTTGCCGTTCTTAAAGCATAAGCTAACTGATTTATGTAGCCATCCCAGCGCTTGTGATGTGTGCTAACGTAACTGCGAAGTATTTTTACAATGTTTTTATTAACTCTTTCTGCTATGTTTGCCTGTGGTCTATACGGAACCATTTTGATATGGCGTATGCCAAGTCCACTGCATATGTTTTCAAATATTTGACTAAGGAATTGTTTACCGTTATCGCTAATGACTTTTATCGGTGCACCGTATTTTAAAATGTATCTGTGTAAGAATGCATCTGCGACTGTTTTGGCTGATGCGCGTTTAAGTGGAACAACTTCTGTCCATTTTGAAAAATGATCTACAATTAATAAAAAAAAACGATTTTTATTTAACTCGCTCTGGGGAAAGGACCAAGAAGATCTATGCCTAAAATTTCATTCGGAAATGTACCGCAAATGCTATTTAAGTACCCGGCCGGGCTGTAATTAATATCATTTATTAACTGACATTGATTGCAGGACCTGACATACGCAGTTACTATTTTGTATAATTGCGGGAAA